GAGAAGGAAGGGGGGTGCCCCTCTCGCCTCCCAGGAGGGGCCGCAACGCTGGGCCGCAGCGGCCTCGGCTCCTCCTCCTCTCCCTCACACCCCCTCCCGCCCCTCTCTACCTGCGGGGGACCCGAGCAGGAGGAGGCGGCGCGGACTGGCCGGGCGACAACTGTCAGTTAGGAGCCACGCTGGGCAGGTGGGAGGAGGAGAGGGGAGGGGGCGACAGCTGAGGGGGAGGGCACTCAGCACCCCCGGCCCGGCGAACAGTGGAAAAAGGCAAAGAAAGGAGCACCGTCGCCATCACTGATGCGCATGCGTGGTAGAGCCAGGTCCCTCCTCCCCGTCGCGCTCTGCGGGGCTCAGGCTGTGGCGAAGACTTCCACTCACTAAACTGAGCTGAGGCCTGGCAGGTTGCGCCGACTAATGATGTCACCAGCTTGTAGCAACTAGTAAGGGGCGGGGCGAGGGAAAAACAAGGCGCCTGCGCAGCTTTACACACCGTTTGTTGGGGAGTAGGGAAGGACACGTCAAAGAGCTTTTCTTAAAGCTAATGCCGCCAGAGAACACACTTCTCTTGTTCTTGATGTTGTTCTGTGCTGTCAAGTAGGTTCCAACTCTTACCGACCCTTGTATAGGGCTTCCGAGGATCGACTGGTAGGTTTCAACAGTTGACTTTGCAGTTGGTAGACTAGTGCTTCTGCTGTAGCACCACACCTGGTCTCTCATGTCTCTTGTTAAGTACCATCCAGTGTGTTCCGACTCCTAGCGACCTTGTATAGGGTTTCCAGTGAGCGGCTGGTGGATTTGAACCGCTTGTGGTTGGCAGTCTAGTGCGTATCCTACAGAACCACACCAGGACTCCTTGCTGTTAAGTGCCGTTGAGTAGTTTCCTATGCATAGCGAACCTATATAGAGTTTCCGAGGAGCAGCTGGTGAGTTTGACCTGTTGCCAAGTCTATTCCGACTCATAACAACCCTATGAGTAGTATTAAAAACTAAAATTAATCCTGAAGGAACTTGCTAGAGGATCTTTGTTAAACAGAAATGTTTGTGAGAAAGACAGCACAAAATCCTATCCATTCTAAAATTTACATTCCCTTTGCACCACTCCGCCCACCTGGGTTGTGACTTCTGGTCTGTTATATAAACCTAGGAAGTTGAGAGGACGTTAAGGATTGACAAAATGAAACATGTTCACAAGCAAAAGACAAAGAGGTGATTTATAGAATTCCAGTGGTGGTGGTGGTGTCCCATGGAGTTGGTTCCAACTAGTAACCACTAAGCTACCAGAGCTCCTTACAGAATTCAAGTAGTCATCTACACAACTAGTTTTGGAAAATGCTGTTCCCAGTTCTTAACACGAATTCATATTTTGGAAACTAGTCTCATGTTTTCCATTAAAGTAAGTATACTTCCATACTCTTAATATCTGCTAAGAAATAACATGTTGTTGTTAAGTGCCGTCAAGTCGATTCCGACCCATAGTGACCCTGTATAAAGTTTCCAGGGAGCAGCTGGTGAGCTTGAACCACTGACCTTGCAGTTCAAATGACTCTGCAGTCTGAGGCATTAGCCCACAGTGCCACACCAGGACTCCAAGAAATAACATAGTTAAATACAGGCTTGCTATGAGTCAGAACAAGTTGACGGCACCAAACAAGCACTGGATTGTTAAGTGTAAGATCGGCAGTTCAAACCCACCAGCTGGTCCTTGGAGACCCTATACAGGGTAATTACGAGTCGAAACTGAGTTGACAGTACTTAACAACAACATTGGAAAGAGGGGAATGCTGATTTGGTGCTGTAGGATAAGCACTGGACTGCTCATCAAAAGGTCAGGAGTTCAAACACACCAGCTGCTACTAGAAACTCTATATGTGGTTGCTATGGGCCGGAACCAACTCGACGGCACTTCACAACAACGAGTTGGAATCCACTCAAGAACAACTTCGTAAGGCGGCACATACAATTTTTTCTACTTAAGCAGAACCCTCTCATGTGACACTTGGACTTGAACACAAATTATAAAAATAGAGCAAGTAAATGTTGTATTAAAGTAGTTGGGGTATCTTAACTCCTAAGACTATTTCTCACTGATAGAACTTCAATCATTTATAAAATTGAAAACCTCAAAGTTTTGTTGTGGGGAAAATGAAATATTGATCTTGGGTGAAATGTACACCAAAATAAAACCCACTTTCATTGAGTGGATTCCGACTCCGGATCCCTAGAGTACAGGGTGGAAGTAGCCCACGAGGATTTCAAGGCTGTCAATCCTTACAGAAGCTGATGTGAATTGTCCTAAGTCCTGGTGCCCTAGTGGGTCACATGTTGGGCTGCTAACCACAAGGTCAGTAGTTCCAGCCCAGTGGCTGCTTCACACAATGATATTTTCTGCTCCTGGCAAGATTTACAGCTTCAGAAACCCTATACAGGGTTGCTATGAGTTGGAATCAACTCGACAGCACATCACCACCTCTTGGTTAGTAGTCAGCCCATCAAAGCTCCTGATCTGAAATATGAAGGAGCTTCAAAACATTCATGGGAAAATTCTGGTAATTCTAGTTTCCCACGAACTTTTTGAAGCTTCCTCATGTACACACCCACCTATTATCAAACATTCAACATCTCCTCTCACTTTGTCAGATATCCATACTTTATTAGTCATTTACAGCTTTCTCTGTCGCCGAGGAGTCCTGGTGTGGCGCTGTGGGTTAATTTGCCAGACTGTATAGCCGTTTGAACTGCAAGGCTGGCAGTTCAAGCTCACCAGCGGTTCCTTGGAAACCCGATACAGGGTCTCTCTGGGTCAGAACTGAGTCGACGGCACTTAACAACAGCCTACAGATACACCTGAGTTCACAGGAAGCAAGCAGGGACCAGTCCAAAGTCAGCAACTGGCAACTAAATAGGTATCTAATTAGCCCCCTGCCATGAAGTTGGTTCTGACTCAGAGTGCCCAGAGTAGAATCACCCCAAAGGGTTTCTCAGATCTTGGAATCTTTACAGAGGCAGACTGCCACATCTTTCTCCTCCAGAAGTGCTGGTGAGTTAAAATTACCAACCCTTCAGTTAGCAGCTGAGCCATTACGCCAGCAGAGCACCTATCTGTCTGAACAGCCCGAATGTCCTTTGATAAAGCCCCAGAGATGGAAACCCACCCCACCCAGACAAATCTCCCCTCCTCCTCTTTGGCCATCAATTTTAGTTCATGACTCTTCAGAAATTAGCTTCCATTAATTGAACTCTGGGCCACCAAGCACTTGCGTCATTATCTTCTTTCCTTCTCACAGTAATCCTGGGGGAAGAATTCCCATTTTATAGGTGGGGAAATGGATGCTTACATTGATATTAGTTTGTCAAACTTCAAATCTAGTTCTATCATGCTCCTAAAATTCCAGGTGCCTAATTCAAAGTCCTAAGGAGCTCTGGTAGTGTAGTAGTTACGAATCGGTCTGCTAACCTGAAGGTCGGCAGTTGGAAACTACCAGCGCTTCCACGGGAGAAAGATGAGGCTTTTTGCTCCTGTAAAGTTACAGCCTCAGAAACCCTGTGCAGGGTCGCTATGAGTCAGAACCGACTCCACGGTACTTGACAACAATTCAAAGACCTGGTGTGGCGCTGTGGGTTAATACGCTGGACTGCAAAGTCGGTTTGAACTGTAAGGTCAGCAGTTCAAGCTCACCATCCACTCTTTGGAAACCCTCTACAGGGTTGCTGTGGGTCAGAACCAACTCAACGACACTCAGCAATAATTCAAAGTAGCCTAGGAGACTTTCCAGTACACAAGAGTGTAGCTAACTGCTGCTGTTGTGTTGTGGAGTCCATTCCGACTCATAGCAACCCTGCATAGGGTTTCTGAAACTAAATCTTTACAGGAACACAAAGCCTCAGCTTTCTCCCACAGAACAGCTGGTAGCTTCAAACTACTGGCCTTCAGATTAGCAGCCCGACACGTAACCACTATGCTACCAGAGCTCTCTAGGGAATTGCTAAGAACACTGATTAAAGTCTTCTTAATTAAGGGACAGAAAACCGCAAGCGGTGTGGGTGAGTAAATTGGCCCTCATTTACTTCAGTAAGAGGCTGAGGTGATAGGGATCAGCATTAAGACAGTAGGACATGCCCTTAACTAAAAAGCAAAAGCACTTTATTATACAAAAAACATGGTGTAGATATAATAGAAAATAGGAATAAGTGCAAGGAAAAGTGGCCATTTACTTTGATCACCCAGTGATAAGCTCCATTCTAAATCAAGGTTTCTCTTCTTTATTAATACTTTGTAGTGGGAGTTGTCTATTTTCTCAACTACACTCTTTATCTTGAATAAACTGAACCAAATTGTGGTCATATTGCAGTGTCTTTAACTTTCTCCCCACTACACACTAGTTGTGTGGAATAGACAGGAATTGCATACATAAAATCTCAACTTCAAATCCCTATTCACAATGACCTTGATTGTTTGCCCATCTGCACTGGCAGTTGGTGAGTTAATGAGATCCTAAGTAAGAGGAATTCTAAGCCACAACAAAGAACACAGTAGAAGTACAAACAACAGCAATAGCAGCTACCATTTATTGAACACTTATTAGGTCTTAAATGTTTGCTAAATACTTTACATATACAGTACTCACAACAGCCCCCAGGAAATCATCATAGGTGTATTTGTTTTTTAATTTTGGGATCAATGATTGGCTGAGTAGAAAGGTTTTTTTTCTACCTTACAAAAAGCTTGAGATTAAAGACCAACATTGGGAATATAATTAACCCTAGATTTATCGAAATCTAGGAAAGGTTTATCTTAGATCCTATAATGCACATCTACTCCTAAATGATGGGTCTCAAAGTTGTTTTTTTCTTCATGTTTAAAGCTAAAATGAACTTTCCTGCCTTTTACTTTCACAATAGCATACTCTTCGGTGCTTCCACACAATCTATTAGGAACTTCTTCAAAATAGTAATCTAGTTAAGCCCCATTCTAAATCAAGGTTTCTCTTCTTGTTGAGCTGCTTTGCAGGGTGGAAAACGGCACACACACACACACTACTCTGCTCAAACACGTAACACGGATTGGCTCCTTCCACAAATACTGATTACTTACAATTAATCAAACACTGTGTTTCATTATGTTACACGCTACCAATGTTAGATGTACCAGGAGTCCTGTTTCAGTAACCATGGCTCTTTAGATCCTGGCTAACTTAAGAAGTAGAGTTAACAGTCTAGTTAAGGGGATTTTAAAGTTCTTATAACTCTCAGCTGGACACCTTGGGAACTACGGGTATGTCTCACTCAATTCCCAGGACTATATTATCAACTCCCCACATCCACTGCAACATTTCAAAATTCTCTCCCAATTTCAACATCCTCTCAATACCATGACAACCAGAAGTGTTATCCAGGAGGAGTAAGCTTGCCACTCTACCCTTGATGGCCCACATTTCCAATGTTTGTCCTGAAAGTTTTCCTGTCTTAATTTTGTGAGTTCTTAGCAGCTTGTGATATTCAGCGTGACAGCTTGGCACCAAGTATATTGATTGCCCAGCATCAATAGTTCAAATAGTAGAAATGTACATATACTTCCTACCAATTAGGGGAAACGGACAAACATTCTAAGGCAACGGAAGCACAGGTTGTCACCAAGGGTCTGTGTTTAAGGGATAAAACATGCAAGATGAACAGAAGGCTGTAACACTAGTTCTGGAGAAATGTAGGGAAGAACTATGAACTGCTTACACAGGGAGAGAATAAGTTCTCTCAGTTCTAATGAAATCCACCCCTAACATTTATTTGGTATGTTATTTTTATGGCAATGATATTCAAGTGACTTTAAAGTGTTTCAGGCTAAATTTAGCAACTCCTGTAAGGCTGCTTGCTGTTCCTCATCCAGGTGAGATGTGCACTCCAACCATAACTCTTGGTCCATCTGTACCTGGCGCACGACATTAGCTAGGCGTTTGGCGCAAGGATCTTCATAGCTAATAGTCTCGTTAATTTTGCCTTCGGCAATTATACGGATTATTTTGGGAAGATTGGAGTTATTTGGACCGAGTACCACTGGGTGGTTATTTTCAATTAAGTCACAGAGAAAACTCAAAGTCTGAAGAGCTTCCTCTTTATCCTCGTGCAGTGGCAGCCAGGATAACCAGTGTGGAAGGACTTCATCCACATTTACACAATTGGGCTTAAACCTCAAAATCTTTCCTATTGCTGAGATACAGTTCTCTGTAGCAACGACGTTTTTTTTCGTCTTAGAATTCGCACACTTAATAACTTTCACCAGCAGCGGGACGGCTTCTGAACATAAAGAGCGATAATCGTCACCCCCAAACTGTGCCATGACTCCCAGGCCATATGCAGCAGCTTGCCTGACTTCAGGGTTGTTATCCCGCATATTTAGGAGCATGGGCCACCGAAAATATTCTACATATTTAAACGAGGTTGGACTGCAGTGCTCTATGATATCGTCAAATATGCACAGTCCCCACTGTCTGTCGGGCCATGGCCTACTTGAACAAATGAGATTTACAATCAATGGAAGTAGCTGCTCAAACCATGGTAAAATCTTTTCCTTATAGGTACTAAATAATGAATGCAAAATATCTGATACTTTTGTTAGAATATACACATCACATTCATCCTCGTCTTGCAGAGACATTTCAATCTGCTGGTCATAGTTTCCTTCCTGCCTTTTAACCTGTCGCAGTTCTTGGTTTTTAAAGTGCCCTTCAAGCTTTGCTTTCAGTATTCCTCCCAGTTCTTCCAAGTGCTCATCAGTGAGGCCCCCAACTCCCACTACTTCAATGGACTTGGCAAAAGAATTCATTATTTCTGAGAGTACATCAGCATCAGGTTCCGTCCCAATAGCCTTGATTAAGGGATCACATATGAATTGCCACATCTGTGCAAGATACTCTGGTCCGTTAATCTTTGCACATTCTAGAAGACAAGGCATGGACTCTGCTGCTGCTACTCGAACGTTGTCATGGAAATAAAATTTCAGCAAGGGAACCATCAGCTTCACAACTTGGTCTGTGTATTCCACAAATCCTTCCTTCAACTCCTTAGCATAGTAAACCAACATCTGGCAAGCAGTTGCTTTTGCTTCAAGTCCTGAGGTTTTGATGCCAAAACTTTGCTGGTCTCCAAGATTTACAAACTGCCAGCCATCATCATCGCTCATATTTTCCACATCCTGTGTGTCTAAGAGAGCAACATCAGGCTTAGCTGAAGCAGTTTTAATAAGAGGCTCAATAACCAGTGGCAGGTACTGTTGAAAATCTTTCCCAAGAATTTTACACATCCTTGCCCAGGCTGAAACCATGTACGAGATCTGAGGGTCATCGTCTTCCATATTATTTAAGTCTGACTGTGTCTTTAACAACAGTTGCATCACATTGGATGAATCTTGCATAAATTTTTCCTTCCCAACAGCAAGCCCAACATGGCTGATGCATTCAATAGTTTTTCCCCTCAAAAGCTTGAGTTCCTTTTGAACAGCAAGTTCGACAATGTGCTTCAGAGAGGGCATAAATATATCATAATATGGAATAAAGTCTTCTTCTATTGTGTCTGCAACTGAGGCAACAGTTGTGACAAGTTGCTCCAAGGCCAACTTTGTTCCATTCCGAATCAACTCTTGTAATTTAATCACCAATATGGAATGTAAATTTTTCACCATGCCGTCTACATAAAGAGCCAGCAGCGATTTGGGGCAGTCTTCAATAAAAATAATCAGAGCGGAGGCTGCATGTGATTGCACGCGCTGATTACCTTGATTTTCCATGGTACGCAACAGAGCTCCAATCACTGCTTCATGGAATTTCTTTTGGAAACTAGGTGCAAAATCTGTAGCCATCTGTCCAAGTGTGGTACAGGCTGCAGCCCTCACCCTTGGATGAGGATCCTGAAGAAAATGCAACACCGAGTTAACCATTTCATCGAGAGTTGATTCCATTTGCTGATGGCATCCTTCTCCAATGGCAGATAAGGCCATTAACCCAGCATGCCGATATTTCCAGTCAGGGCTCTGTAGCATCTGCATGATGTGCTCCTTGGTCATTGGCAAAACCACTTTGCCACCAAGCCCACAAGCCAGCCTGTCTAGTGCACTCTCAGCAGCAACTGCATTGCTGTCAAAATCATCTTCTTCCATCTCGTCAGCATTGACCCAGTCCTCATCATCTTGTAGATCCACCATCATTGCTAATATGTGAGGAACAGCCTGGGCAATAATATTTGTATGTTTTTTCAACATTGGGGTTGCTGTTTCAGATAAGGTCACTATTACTTCAAGAGCCAATTGGCGCTGCAGATTACTAAGCCTAGAGTCACCACATAACTTTAGACTCAGCTGCAGAGCGTCTTCTAAAGAAGGACCCAAGTATTTAGGGACAGTATCTGCAATCTCAACAAGGGATTCCAGGACGGAATCATCGTCCTGGTAGCAAGAGTCATTCACAGCCTGTAAGATTCCCGGAAGCAAGTCTGCAAAGTCCTTAAAGAGAGCGACGTTGTTCTCATTAGCAAGTACAAAGGCAGCTGCAGCTCTCGCGGATAATGTCCTGATGGCTGGATGCTCTTGATCTTGAATACACTGGTCCAACAACCGTTTGATGATATCCAAATCATGCCGTTCTTGGTTCCCAAAAATCCCAGGAAAATGCCAGAAAACGTGAAGCGCCACTTCCCATAGAAACACATTTTTAGAGTAGATGGAATCAATAAGGAACTTCAAACCTTCGGGCCAGTGGTTAGTGCCGTCCTCATCTATTAAATTCCTGGCCAGCACGGCAAAAATGTCACAAAGTTTTTTCCTCATACTAGCATGTGTTTCTAATTTAACAGCCAGTATCAGTTCAATCTTGACGTCCCTCTGCACATCGGGAGGTAGATTTGGATAGACTTCCTCAAACCCCGAGGACAAAAGCCGTCGTAGCAGTGCGGCAGCCATTTGTCTCACCTCATAACCTGCTCTTCTATTTCTGACGGCATCTATTAGGAACGTAGTCTTACACAGACCTGGGATATTTTCATAGATCTCCTCCGCCTGCCTCCGCACCATGCAGCTTGGATTGATCAGGTTCTTCAAAAGCTGGTAAAACTCTTGCTTTTCCGACACGGCCGAGGATACCCCAGCAGCCCCGATCGCCGCCATCGCGCCCTGTCAAAACTAGCGCGACTGGGGCCCAGAGGGGACTGCGGCTCAGAGCTTTGACGTAAGCGACGCGCCAGCGTGGAGGGGCGGGGGCGCTTTCCTTTCGCTCCTCCTGGGAACCCAGGCTGCGAGCTGGCAGGTAGGGAGTGGAGGCAGAGAGGGAGATGGAGTGGGAAAGAACTTGCGTGGTAGCCTCCATTTCCTTACCAATCAGATACAAATAATGTCCTTGCATAGGAAGAAAAAAGTATACAACACTGATTGTATTCAAGGGGGACTATGATTCCCGCCCCTCCTCTTTTTCTCAAGTTCTAATCAATACAGATTAGAGTCCTGGTGTGGCGCTGCAGGATAAGCACTGGACCGCAAAGTCGGTTTGAACCGCAAGATCAGCGGTTCAAATTCACCAGCCGTTCTTCGGAAACCCTATACAAAGTCGCTAAGAGTCGAAACCGACTCGACGGCACTTGATAACAGACATCAATTCGTATTGTTACCCTGATTATGTAAAACAATTAGTACACCTTGTAACTATGGTTAAGTGCAAGAAGCCAGTCACAAAAGACAACCTATCGTATAATTCTATATATACAAAAAGCCCTGAGTAGGCAAATGCACAGAGACAGAAGGTACTTGAGTGGTTTCCTGCGTGAGGGGAAATTGGAGGGAAATGGGGACGGGGGATGACTGCTAAGGAGCACAAGATTCCTTTGGGGGTGATGAGAAAGTTCTAACATGGATTGTGGTGATGGTTGGACAACTCTGAAAGCTATTGATGATACAACTTAAACTGGTGAGTTGTACAGATGTGAATTATAACTCAAAAAAGTTGTTTAATAAAAAAACAACAACAACCCATCAAGTACAATAAAAGCAATGATTTCTGCCTCACTCCCACTCCTAATGCAGTAAAGCAGAGGCCCTCAAACTTGGAGTCTATCAGAACCACCTGGTCTGGATTGATATAAAGAATGAAAAACACAACTGAGCAAATTATGGTGGAAAGTAACCTGGGTCAATAATCAGAAAACCTAAACCTAGTCTTATCTGTAAATTAACTCTGTAGCCTTGGTCATGTCGCTTAAAGTTTTTCTTGCATGCTCTCTAAATTGTAAAATAAAGGTACTCAGCGATTAGAATCACTAGTCTTTCAAGAAATCAGAGAATCTATTGCACTGGGCAAATCTACTGCAAAATATCTCGAAAGTTTTTGTTTTGTTTTAAAAGATGTCACTAAGGTGGACCTGGCCCAAGCCGTGATATTTTCGGTTGCCTCATATGTATATGAAAACTGGACTTTGTCTCATGTGCTTTGGACATGTTATCAGGAGGAACCAGTCCCTTGAGAAGGGCATCATGCTTGATAAAGTAAAGGGTCAACAAAAAGGGAAAGATCCTCAGGAGATGTACTGACTGCGTGGACGGTGGCTGCAACAATGGACTCAAACATAGGAACGACTGAGGATGGCTCAGGACCAGGCAGTGTTTCGTTCTCTTGTACATAGGGTCACTATGAGTGGGAGCCAACTCAATGGCCCCTAACACCTAAAAGTACAACTACCCTTTAGTAGGAAAACTGTGGGTTCTGTGGGTTAATGGTGCTGTGGGCTAATGCAGTGAACTGCAAGGTTGGCTTGAACCTCAAGGTCGGCAATTCAAACTCACCAGCTGCTGCTTGGAAACCCTATACAGATTCACTCACTATGAGTCAGAACTGACTCAATGACACTTAACAACAACCTTTAGTGGGAAGCTGATGAGGTTATTCCAAGAAATAAATGTCCTTGAAGCTTAACTACTCTTTCTTTAATACAGGCAGGTATGCTAATCAGAAACCGTTATCATTCCTTTAACAATAACTGGAGTCCTGGTGTGGTGCTGCAGGATAAGAACTGGAGTCTGGTAGCATAGTGGTTACGAATCGGGCTTATAACCTCAAGGTCAGCAGTTCGAAACTACCAGCTGTTCCACGGGAGAAAGATGAGGCTTTCTGGTCCTGTAAAGATTTACAGCCTCGGAAACCGTATAGAGGGTCACTGTGAGTCAGAACCAATTCCCCGGCTCACCACCAGCCACTTTATCAAGCATGATGGTCTTCTCCATTGACTGGTTCTACCTGATACCGTGTCCAAAGTACATGAGACGAATTCTCATCATCATTGCTTCTCTCCCGCACCTCCAGGGGAAACTTTTATTCAGGTGAGCCTCCACAACAAATCCTCATATGACAACATGATTGTACACATTGTTTCATTAGTTTAATAAAGTATTTTTTATAAGAAGTTACTGTTTGTCATACATGCAATTGTCACAGGGAGAACATAATAAATATTATGCTCTTTTTTGTTCTTTACATAAATGTAATTAAAATTTAGATTGGTTTATTTATTAAGTGTTAACTCCTTTGGTTTTGCTAGAATGTAGCTTTGATCATAAACTGGAAATCAGTATTAAAGTAACTTCTGGTTACAATAGTACACATGTTCACCAAAAAAAATAGAATATATGTTGTTGTTGTTGTTAAGTACCGTGGAGTCGGTTCCGACTCCACATAGTGGCCCTGCACAGGGTTTCCAAGGCTGTAAATATTTATGGGAGCAGAACATAAAAAAGCAAATACCACCCCCCAGAATTGTCATCATTCAGAGGATGAGTAACAGCTAACAATTACTGTGTGTTTACTACGTGCTGAGTGTTGTTCCAAGTATTTTGTGTGAATTAACTCCTTTACCTGGTAATGAATGCTACAGAGGACATCCTCATAACTGAGAAAACTGAAGTACAGTTTGACTTGTCTACATTCTTAACCTCCATAGACGTACACATGTTTTTCCATATTGCAATTACATGCTTATACAATAAGCACAAGACTGTGAACCATAAGGCCTGGCTCGAGCCCATCAGTCACTCCATGGTAGAAAAATATGAGTCCTTATGCTTCCCCCCATGACAGTCGTCCAAGGAGATGCTGGTGGATTTGAACTGCTGACCTTAGAAGTCCAATTGTTATCTAACAGCACCACACCAGGACTCCATGCTTTATATTGTTGTTATTGTTAATTGCTATTGAGTCAGTTCTGACTCAGGAGAATTTATATAGTCTCCAAGTCCATAGTCCTGGTGTGGCACTGTAGGATCAGCACTGGACCACTAACCACAAGGCTGGCGGTTCAAACCCATCAGCCTATATAGCCTATACAGCCTTGGAAACCCTATACAGGGTTGCTCAGAGTTGGCACTGACCAACATCATTCAACATGTAATATATTTTGTCCACTTCAAAGAACTTTTAACACAGTTCTTTAATGTCTGTTGTAAAAATTCAATAGTTGTATCTTTTATTCTCATGTTATAGGTTATTTGGGGTCTATCCAGTTTTCTGTGTTATATAAGTAACACAATAATGAGGATCTCTGGATCCAAATGTGGGAAAATCTTACTTTGCCAAAATCACTTTCTAGAAGTCAAACAATCTACCTGCTGAGATATGATATTTGGCATTTTATGTAAAGCCTTTATGGGTGAAGATGAAAACTGGCAGATGATCCAGATCAATGGTTCTGGGCTCACAGGCTTCTCTGAGAATATGAGGAGCTTTATGGACCATCCCCTCAAAGCATAAGAAATCCCTTTGGGATAATAGAGATTATAGAACTCTTTCAATATTATGTATTCCTAAAGATGTGTCCTGTGTAAATCTGCTGACTAACCTGTTTTTAAAAGAATAAAAAGTCACTTATTTTATTGATCAAGTGATAATATCTCTTGCTGAGTTAAATTGGGAAGAGGAGGAGAAGAACAGAGAAGTAACCTTTTCATGCTTTTGTAATACATTTTCTGATTTTTTCCAGCACAGTTTATATAGATTGTTAACCCAAACTGCTAAGCGTAGAAGAGTATGTAGTAAGAGATTGCCTAATATGGTCATGTGCTAGACTGCAATGTGTTTTCTGGCTATTTTAAAGTTAGGATTTTAAACTTCATTTAGATCAACATCTTCAAGCACGTGTTGAATTGGGAGTCAGGTATACAAGGGATTTCAGAGGAAACAAACTAAAGCAGTCTTATTCTGTTATATCTAGCATGTTGTTGTTGTTGTTAAGAGCTGTCGAGTCGGTTCCGACCCATAGCGACCCTGTACAGGGTTTCCGAGGGTGTAAATCTTTACGGGAGTAGAAAGCCTCATTTTTCTCCTGCAGAGCGGCTGGTAGTTTCGAACCGCTGACCTTAAGGTTCGCAGCCCGATTCGTAACCACTACGCTAGCATATAACTAGAAAAATCCATCACTCATCCTCAGGCACTCTTCATACTGTTGTGAATCCAGCAAGGCAGATCCAAAATGGCTTGTCAGCTTTTTTATTTGAACAATACAATCTTCGGATCTGTCTTGCCAGTCTCCTTAATTCCTTCTGAGACATGTGATTGGTCATACTCAAATTGATACAGAGTTTTGGTCCTGAGTGTCTGGCTTCAAAAACTCTCTTTCGTCAAGGCTCTCAGAAAACGTTTGCTGTGCTGATGAAGATGGTGTTGTCAAAGCATACTGAAAGTCCCATGGACTGGGTTTTCAGGATGACTGGCTTTTCATCTTTCTTTTTCTTGCTTTCTTATATTCTTCTTTGCTGCAACTATCTTTTCCCAGCGTTTCTGTTTTCTGTGCACATTTTTCTTTTATTATCCCGAAAACAAAATTGTTTGAGAACGAACACCAGGTGGCACCACTTCTGGGCAGGTTCCCTCTCTCTGGGCTCTCACAATCCAGGTCAATGTGCAGAAGCTGGAAGCTTTCATAGACGCCATCGTCACCTGCATCCTCAAGGATGCCTTCTTGGCCCAGCAGCACGTGCGGTTCTGTTTTCCATGTACTGCCTTCCAATTTCCAGTCAGTGTGTTGTTCCCCAGGCCTCTGTGCTGTTTTCGTTATTTCATGCAGCGGTGGCAACAACACACATTCACATCCTTCCTTCTTAAGGAACATTCTGGTTGTATTTCTTCCAAGAAAGATATGTTCATTCTCTGGCC